AGAGGTAATGCTGTTGTTTGTTGTGTTAAAATCTGCGTAGGCTAGAGGATATGATGGTAGGCCTACTTTCACAGCACTATTAGCCACGCCGGTGCTCACAATGTCCCAGCATTTTTTAATTGTCTACATTACAATTTCTATAAAACTACTATAGCGAAATGGATTGTCATAATCAATAACTACTGATTTTATTACATTCCATCTTTCTTACCGCCGGTTGTTCATAATGTCCAGGTGTTGCTCCAGTTACCTATAAATGATATAAATCAATAAAATTGTTATTTAAGATAAAAATTTGTAAACACTGTTAATCGTAAAATCATATATCTAAATACTAGTCGTCAATAAACTGCTATGTCGAAGATGGGTTGTCACAAGCAAAAACCGAGTTATTATTAATCAAGCACTATGAGTGATAAAATAGAATCACAATTGTGGTAAGATTCATACATATGTCAAATTGTTTTGTATTGTTAAAGTGATCATTTAAGATGGCAGTTATCATTTTATATTCAGTCACAATTATCAGATCAACTATCGATAGTTCTTCAGGCAGTTATCATTTTATATTCAGTCACAATTATCAGATCAACTATCGATAGTTCTTCTACGGAGAAAGGTCAAGCAATACACGGTAACGATTTTCCCTCCATACGCTAAAACCAGTAGCCGACACGTGGCCGAGGCTGCCTGTACACCTGTACATTAGAGTAAACTATTTATAATTTATGTACAGAGCAAAGGTTCCCCAATATGGAATACGAACCCATTAATATACATGTATACACGTGTATAAACAAAGTTTATTATTATTATTATTATTATTATTATTATTATTATTATTATTATTATTATTATTATTATTATTAATATTATTATTATAAAGCAAATTATTAATTAAACGATTATTATTATTATTAGTATTAGTATTAATAATAATAATTATTATTATTATTTTATTTCTGTACAGAGCAACTGTCTACCAATATGGAACATTGACCAATAATATATAACAATAATAATATATAAACAATTAAATGTTTTATTTCACATTGTATATGCTTTGAGAATTCAGCATTGATGAAATTATTATAATCCTTCTTACCGCCGGTTCTTCGTAATGTCTCGATATTGCGTTGGTTACCTTTAAAGTTAATTATATAGACCTAAATCAATTAAACAGTTATTTAGATTTTTAAAAACACGTTTGAACAATGTCAAGTCTGTTAATACTTATGCCATCAAAACAGTTTCATATTGCATGTAGTCATGTTTGAACCAATTGTTTCATATTCAAAGAATTTACTTTGTCTATTTCCTATGTTGCCTATATTATTATATACATGTACATAATACTAGAAATATACTAAATATTATATCAGTCATCAGAATAAACTATTGATAATTTCCTTTACCGAACAGAGGCCCATCATGGTTCAATCACACAAAAAATAATTAACTTGGCCATGAGACGGGCAATAATTCTTTCCTGTATGTCTCACCTGTGGCTTTGAATTTCTCATCTTTCCAAGGACGACAAATATAATTGAAGATAAAAGGACTCTCAGTAAGAAACTTAGAAACGTCAATCCAACTAGAAGGTTAGTATTTGAACTTGTATATTTCTGTGGTACTTAAATAATAAATGATAAACAAAATGAAAAATGATAATAATGATAAATAGTGTATTACAAATATCTGAAATGTCCATTACTTCATAAATTTACATAAAGCTAGTTAGCGTATTAATGGAATTATCATACAACAACTACGCTCATAAATATGCTAAAATAGTGAACGTAAGTCTCTGGATAATAGTGTTAGGCCTACTTTTATTTAATCATTGATCGATCAGACAACAGGTCAACCGACCGAATGATCTAAAGACAAAAAGACTGAACGATAACCGACCACAATTCGAATACCTTCACCAAATGAATGAACAAAAAAAAAGAAAGAAAAAAAAACACGTACCCGTGGTTGAAATACTTGCTACGGATGTTAATGATGGTACTATTAAAATAAAATTCTTTCATTAGAAAATAAAACCGAATATAGTGTTATGCATAAATGTAGGCTTGATAGGCAAAATTCACAATTGGTGGTGGTGTACTCATTTATATTAAAAATAATATAAATGAGAACAACGCCACCAATTATAAATTGTATTTAATATAAATGAGTACACCACCACCAATTATATTTAAAATAATATATAATCTGTGGTGGTGTCCTTAAAAATAATATTCTTTTAAACAGACTGAATAAAAATAATTTTACTTTCCGCAGACAATAAAAACTCCGGTTGTAGATATATTAAGTTCTTTAGGATGGTGCAAAATAAGCTGGAGTTTTTATTATCTGCCGAAAATAAAATTATTTCTAGTCTGTTTAAAAGTACTTGAAGAGAATTTGAAAGTTTAACATTACAATTCGACCAGACACAATTAAAATTATCAAAAATCTTCAATCAGAGTATTCATGCTTTTTTGACTTCTTGTACAATGAATACTCTAATTGAACATCAATTGAATAATATGCAGGGTAAAAGAACACTTGTTTACAGATCAACTAAATTATGGAATATACGCCCAGATAATATTAAAACAAACTTTGAATCCTCGACTCTTTTAAATTTCAAAAATTATGTCAAATCCTTATTAGATAACTTACATCACTTTTTGATGCTTATTATTCTCCAATCTAAATTATTTTATTGTCAATATTTGAAGAAAAGTTTTTAATGATGTTTCTTTTATAGTTTTTTTTTTTTTAAATACTGAAAGTGTTAAAACAGATGAATAATAAATAAATAAACTGTCTTCATGTTTTCTATTCATTTGCCAATAATCGTACATATAAAAATATGAATGAAGAGAAGACGTACCTATGGAGAAAGAACTGGCTATGGATGCTATGGATGTCGTTGATGGGGCTAATGAGCAAAAACAAGATTATGTTTTCAAAATTAAAGCGAAAAAAAAAAAACATGTATAATAATAATAGCTGGCAAAATAATGTAAATTTTACAAAATACAGCTTTCTGTCATCGACAGTATTTACTTTTATATTATGAAATACTGTATTGTAATTATATAATTATTCCTGTAATTGTACTTACAAGTAGGCCTAAACAATGACAGTGTTCCTTTATTACTCAACTTTCCTTCATTCCCATTGTAAGCTGCATTCTCTGCTCTACATTGGTAGTCTCCTTCATCCATTTCATTGACTTTGCTGATCTCTAATGTTGTGTCTGACTGTGGATATTTCTCAGTATTAGACACACAAAGTACGCTGTCATCTTTGATCCATAAGATGTCGATAGGTGTTGGAACACCATCGGGAAAAGGACACGTGAACATTGCATTTTTTTCAGTTTCATTGACATATATATTTGTCGGTTCCAAAGTTGGTGTCTCAAGATCTATAATGAGTTCAAAACATTTGTTTCAAAACATATTTATTTGTTTATTTATTTATTTCAAAAATATTTAACGAGGGTGGTCCATCCAGCCGGAGCTGATTATTCGGGACCCTCAATACATAAAACAAGTAAAAAAGGAAATATAAATAGATTAACAAAGAAATTTTTAAAATAAGCAAAAGAAAATATGAAAAAGAAAACACAAAATTGCAGCAAATAAAGCCATATATCATTTTTTCATTTAAATGTACTCATTTAATTACAAAAACATAACAATGTTACGTCAGTACTCACAGTAGACTGTTAATGTTGATAACCCGTCTGCATTGCTACCATCTGATACAGTTAGTTTACACAGATAGTAATCTGTATCTGCTTTCATAACATCAGATATAATAAGGTATCCGTTGCTATTTAAGCTGTATCTATCATTGGGTTGTGGGTTTCCAAGAATATTATTTATAATACTATCCCCCTGTACACCATCTGCATTACTTTTGAACCACGACACATATAGAAGTGCTTTTCCTGGTGAAGGTGTGAATGTAAATGTCATTGTTGCATTTTCACCCAATTTTGCTGTAGCAGGATCTACTGTCACGGATCCAGATTGAGCAAGAATACCTGGAATTAGGCATTTTCATTTCATTTTATTTAGTATCCATTCAAATACAACAATTTACAAAACAAACGCAAAATGTTTGAATCAAATCAAATGATATTATATATGAATGTTAACAGAAAATGGAATACTATATCAGTCAAATGTATCTGGTATCGTACAATGGTGATGACATTTCACATCTTTATCTAATTACTAATCTATGGATATAGTTTTATATAAGTTGGAAATAATAATGCAAGTTTATCTTTAACAATCATCTTTTAATTGGTTTAGATCCGTTGCGCGATGTCTTCAGTTGCGTTCTCCATAGAATTTATTTATTTATTTAGGCCCTAATTTTGAAATATTTATATTTGGGCAAAGTGAGTGCCCGGCTTTACTTACAAAGACAGAAATTTCATAATTACCAAAAATGAATACTAAAATTATAAAGCAGACAAAGTACGCCCTTCATGTTTAATAAACATCGATTTGACTGTCATTAATACCCGGACAATGACGTTTTCTTTAACTAAAAAAAAAAAGAAATTTAATTTAATTTAAAAAATAAATAAATAAATAATATAATAATAATAATAAAATAATAATAATAATGATAATAATAATAATAATAATAATAATAATAATAATAATAATAATAATAATAATAATAATAATAATAATAATAATAATAATAATAAATAAATAAATATAAATAATATAAAAAAATTACAGGATGTGTTCAGGATAGATGGGTGGATTTATTCGATGTAAACACCAAAGTCGAACCGGGCACCAAAGAATTTCTACATTTGAGCATACACAATGGTTACGGTATTCTAGTGTATTATAGTATTCTAGTGTGCTTTTCAATCCTATCAAAACATTCGGTACAATACTCGGTAAATAAATCTGGTATGAATGTGTAGCTGGAGTAATGCTGAAACTATTTAGCCTATTTAGGTGAGACATTGAACAGAAACTTAAAAGGTAATTTGAATCACCACGATAAAAGAGTTAAAAAAAATCATAGCGGTAGAGTGTGTGTTGTTCTTGTCACGTCAGTCAATGTATATTAAGCGTTGAAATTTATACGAATAGGATCCAGACCATTTTATGCGTTTTACATTTCTACCTCAGTGGTGGCGCGGGGAGGAGCGGGGTGGGGGAAGGTCCCCCGTTAGGGAGAGCTCCCCCCTCCCCTCACCTCCCGTCGGGGAGAAAAACCACAATTCTTCGGGGAGAAAAAAAGCATTATATGTATTTTCTACATATTAGTAGACTTTAAAATCGATTAAATAAGCCTTTGAAAGCCCTAAATTGTCAAAATTTTCAGGGGCTTCGTCCCCCTGCCTGGACCATGTACCAT